GGGGGGCGGGGGGGGCAGAGCAGGCACCAGGCAGCCTTGACTTTATCAACGCAAAGTTTGTTGCCCTTTTAAAGTACACAGAGCTTTCAAAATTGCACAGCTGAACTCTGTATCCTCACCTTGGTTCAGCCTGTCTCATCTCGTGTCTGTGGACTCAGCAGATGCTTTTGTGAAGAAAATAGATTAGTTTCCTTAATTCTGTCTCAAGGTCTTCAGGCTGAGAAGAAAATCAGGTGAAGATGACTCCCTGAAGGTATCCTTCATTTCATCCTATTACAACCTTATGGGAGAAAACACTGGCCAGACAAGATCCAAAATAGGCCAGTGACTCAAAAGAATGAAAGTGTAATGGAAGAGCGGCGCCGCAGACAGTTCAGAGGTCTCCTGTGACTGTAGCCGTCTGTAGCACAACCTGCCTGGCAGGAGCCCATTCGCCGCGAATCCTTCAATTTCGCGTTTGTCACTGACAGCGTTCCCCAGTGGATGCTCCTCACTGCCAGACAACATAAACTCCTGGACTGAAATGTGATTTGATCTAAGATGGTGGGACACCTGAAAAAAGTGCTAGCGGGCTCACTTACACTTTGAGAACACTAGCACTTCCTAAAGAATTGACATAACTCTTTGTCAGCTCTGAGAGAATACAATTACTAAGCGCTCCAAACCCATTACCCCCTTAGATGGGGGGGGGGAACACACACACACAGACACACACAAACACACACCCATACACATACACATACGCACAGGACGCTTGTGTAATTTATTCTGCCGGAGCCTTTCCCTGTGTTCTTGACAGTAAGCCTGACTCTGAGAGAGGCAGAATTAATTATGACTCCTCGGCCTATCTTAATTAAATCTTTTCACATCATAGATTTCACACAACAGAGGCAAAATATCTACCTCATCTTTTAGCCGGGGCGGGGGTACTGCCTGAGAATGTCTCACATCAAGATATCAAAGGTACACTGTAAAGTTGCCTCTCCAGGATTACGATTTCACAGAAGAGTTGTCATGTCCGGCTTTTAACAGAGAGCAGCTTGTTATCCCGCTATTGTGGAGGCTGGTGGTGGTGGTGGAGGGTGGTGACGTCGGGGGGCAAGGGGGGCAGAGCAGGCACCAGGCAGCCTTGACTTTATCAACGCAAAGTTTGTTGCCCTTTTAAAGTACACAGAGCTTTCAAAATTGCACAGCTGAACTCTGTATCCTCACCTTGGTTCAGCCTGTCTCATCTCGTGTCTGTGGACTCAGCAGATGCTTTTGTGAAGACGGCAGTAAGTAGGTTTTTTTTTTTTTTTTTTCATAAACGAAGGTCAAAGGCAAAGGCGAAGAAATTAGCAAAGTCCCATCAACCCCCCGCATCTCACCATCCGTCTTTGACAGCGTCCCCACTCAGGCGTGGCTCATCTGACCTCAGCTCACACGGTATCGATCTGCCAAGACAGGTTAGAAAAAAGTCGCCCAAAGAGACAAAAACAAAAATATTAGCCAGAGAGGAGAGACCTGAGTGGGTCGGAGCTGTAAAGTGCAGCACTATTTGCTTTTGATTCCCTATGACACAGAGTAATTGTTGACACAGTTAGCGATGCGGGTTTGCTTTGAGATGCCCCCCCACCACCACCACCACCACCACCACCACCCCTGGCTGTGAAGCGACCCCCGCCGACTGTTGATGCGGGTT